CACTTTTCTACAAATCCACATAGGTGGTAAGTGTGCACGTTATGCTTTGCGCACTTTCTAAAATCCACATAGCTGGTAAGTGTGCACGTTATGCTTTGCACACTTTCTAAAATCCACATAGTTGGTAAGTGTGCACGTTATGCTTTGCACACTTTCTAAAATCCACATAGTTGGTAAGTGTGCACGTTATGCTTTGCCCACTTTCTAAAATCCACATAAGTGGTAAGTGTCCATGTTATGCTTTGCCCACTTTTCTGAAATCCTGTATGGTAAGGGTTACGCATTATTGACCTCGTTCCCTTTCTCTGAGTTGGTTTAGACCCCATTACCTTGGGCTCCACTCAACTAGTGTGTCTCTATCGACACACTCTGGAAGCATAGCTCCCCTCACCATTGAGGGTTATTGTGAGTATGGTGTTTCTTTCGAGCGTTAATCCTCTCTGAGGAGTTGGATTCCTCGCTCCATGGGCTGTCCTCGTGGTAGTATTGAGCAGTGCTCCCCTTTTTTATCAAAGGGTTACCTGGAATGAGCAATGCTATTCCTCTGAATTCGGAGTTCTCCTCTCACATGAGAAGTTTGAGTTCTCTGTTTCTCCAGAGCACCTGGAACCAGCAGCATCAGGCGATTTAGGCCCTTCCTCTACCTCCCTGATGCGCTGAGTGTTTGACTAGCTTGCAGTACGTTTACCCTTCTGATTTTACAATCACACTGTAGGTCGAGCCCCCTCTCATTGAGAGCTGGGAGTCTGGCCCTAACAGGTAAGTTTTTTTGGGGTATGTAGCCTAGGCCTTTGGCCGTAGGGAATAACGTCACTGACAGCCGTCTAAACGTCCCAGGGGCAACTCCCATAGCAATATGGTAGAGTTGGTACTTAGTGCTCGCCATGATTCTGGCATGCACTCCCCTCAGCATGGTGGCTTGGGTATACCATTCCCCATAGCGTCCTCTAGAGGACGCAGTTCGAAGTTCCCATGAAAGGGAACATCTCAGGTTACTTATGTAACCATGGTTCCCTGAGTAGGGAATGAGACACTGCGTCCTCTAGGTTTCTTGCCATGCTGCGGACGCAAGCTTCAGACGAAGAAGTGAATGATGTGTGCTCCCGGCGGCTATTTATACTATAGTCGCACCGGTAGTGACGTCATGGCTGTCGCCGGCCAACGAGTTGGTGTTTTTTCAATGTATGCTTCAGACACGGGTCACGACGAGGCGTTCCCCATAGTGACCCCTAGAGGACGCAGTGTCTCGTTCACTACTCAGGGAACCATGGTTACATAAGTAACCCGAGACGTTCCTTTTGATGTCGCTATCCGCTGAGTTCTTTGGTTTCTTCCGCGTTGCTTTCTGATGGTCAGTCGTGTTTGACCAGCGATGTTTGCTAATATAATATTCCTCCTCTATCCTCTCGGTTCTGACACACTGCTGATTACATTCAGATGATTACAGCCCAGCACATGCGAGGAAGTACAGTCAAGCCACTGAAGTATATGTGGTGTCATGTAGCTTCACGTTGATTTGAAGGGAAAGTTCCTGAATAGGATTAACTAATGGTTGATCGTCAACAAAACGGGTCATGCTTTCACACCAGCGATGAATGGAGGGTGCATGCATAACAATAGAGCTACAATTGTACAGCTTTAACTCAGATTTTAAGATTCACTCTGATTGGATATTAGAAGGGGGAAGAACATTAGTCCATTAGTAAACATTAAAATATCTAATATAACTGAAATAATAATCATAATAATGTAGAATTGAATTCCTTGATGTCTTCCAAAGCAGCAAATTTTAAATCGTCTTTAAACTTGCTGGGACAAACTTTCAGACGACGTGTAATTAGTTTGTGGCAGGGGATGTATTTGATGTGGTATTCAAAGGTTGCTTTAATTTAACCCCACTGAAGTCAAACGTCTCCATACAGTTGTTTAAAAAAAAGTTACAACTCTGCAGTTTATTTTACTTCAATTTCATCGCTTGTTTATGTCAACCAAGTGTGTTTGTCGCGGATGTTGCTGATATTTTAAGCGGCGTTTCTATTTCTGTGCGCAAGAGGGCGAAGTGATTCACTGCTCAACTCATTTATTCAGCGTCGAAGAACTGAACTGCGTGCAATAATACATTTGTCTGTTAGGTTTGTGTGGGTCCCAGCACATGTTGGAATTGATGGGAATGAAAAGGCAGATAAAGCAGCAAAATGTGCTTTGAAGAGTGGAAATAAGCACATAAATATAAATATTAGCAAGTCAGAAGCTAAGGTGGTGATAAAGGGCAAAATCAATGGAACAAAGAAACCAAAGGGAAGATATCTGTTTAAAAATATTCCATTAGTTGGAAAGATAGGAACTGGAGGACGAAATAGGAAAGAGGGGAAGGTTATAACAAGAATAAGGAATGGTCACACTGGTCTAAACCGTTCTCTATGCATGATTGGAAAGCATAATAAATGGAAAGTGTGAATATTGTGGAGAGGAAAAAACAGTAGACCATGTTTTATTGCATTGCCAGAAGTATGATTCAGAGAGACACATTTTAAAGAATGCACTAAGAGTGAATGGAGAGCAAAATATTAGTAATATTCTTAAAAAATCTGCAGATGATAAGGGTTGGAGTCTACTTCTAGAGTATTTAGGATCAACAAGACTAATAAATAGACTTTGAGAAATATAAGTTTATTGATTTTTTGTTTAAAGGTTGATTTATTTATTAATTTATATATATATATATATATATATATATATATATATATATATATATATAATTTGTTTTTTTTGGGGTGTTGTGTATAGTGATTTAGATCCTGCATGCAATAGAAATATGGCGGCATCCATGAACGCAGCGCATGAGCTGCAAACCAGAACCCGGACAGACGATGTTCTGACTAACGGGGGTGTCGAGTTCAGCTCTTTACTCCTCTCAAAACCTGTGCTTGAGGGTTTATCTGCCTCTGGCTTTCAGAGACCGTCCCCCATCCAGCTGAAGGCAATCCCGCTGGGAAGATGTGGACTCGGTACGAGACCCGTTCCAAAACAAGCCTAAACCAACAGTCTTGCCGTTATTCACATACCAAAACGAACTGCTCTTTAATTACAGGGGTGTAATGTGACATTCAAAAATATCATCAATGAAAACGTGCCTGTATTTCATGCACCTGGAAATAATGTTGTCTATTGACGTTTTCTTCTGTCCAGATCTTATTGTTCAAGCCAAGTCTGGCACAGGAAAAACCTGCGTGTTCACCACCATCGCTTTGGACTCTCTTATATTGGAAAACACAACCACACAGGTATTACTTTTTCCAATATGCAGCGGAATGTAATGTGTTACTAAATATAATGTCCTTTCTTATAGGACCTATAAGAATAGTTTTTATATAAAACGGAATAAAGGAACTATGGAGATTTGAAAGACTC